CCCTGACACCACGGCCTGAGTTACGAACGCCTTTTCAAACTCAGGCCTTTAGACAGACGCCTATGCCTGTTTTTTTCTGCCCATTACGAACTCCCATGTGACATAAACGTACTTCCCCCTTTCTTTTTCCTTCTTGTTTCTTCTTTTTTTTTTTGGAAACCGGCCTGCCCCTCGGACGTGGGTGACTAGACTGCAGTTACAAACGCTGCCCTGCGACAGCCACGCCACGGGGGAGTTTGGCCTGCAGTGTAAACGTCAGAGGGGACTGGACTCCAAAAAGGAAGTTTGAAACGTATTTTCAGACCCCAACCCTCACCGCACTCTAGTTTTCGCTTTTTTTTATTCAAACACGAAATCAATTCAAGACCAGCTTCCCTTTTATCATTTGCAGTCACTGTGACAGTGTGACCTATGGGATGAGAAAGGCACTACGACATTGAGAGAAGAATACAGCTTTGTGAAAACCAAAAAAAAAAATAATAATAAACAAAGTCACTCCAGCCAAGGTTAACCTCAGCCAGTCGTATAATAATTCGGGAAAAAAAAAAAAAAAAAAAAAAACACGTGAGCCAGTACTAGAAAAGTAGGAGAAATGAGTAGCTCAATGTTCATCAGGAAAAAGCCCCCTGGCACGTGACAAGCAGAAAAGGAAAATCAACTTTGTAATCAGAAGGGCCCACCTGCCAAAAATCCAAAACCAAACACTGTCCTAAAACCCCCCAACCAAGTTCTCCCTCATTCTTCTCCCTTTTCTCCCTAAGCTTCCTCCAGAAAGCGCCTGAACCTGGATGTCCCTTCACCAAAAATGCAGAAAAGCAGATTGATTTCATGCACCTGTTCATAAACACGTCCAGAATCAGGACATACTCATCTGGCCATATACATGGCCGCACGTGGATGCATGTGCCTGCAATTCCATCCCAAAATAAGTCAAAAACTCCTCGCACGAGTATGCCCTCAGGCAATAAACCCAACTCCTCTTTGTTTGTGAGACCTCACAAATGGATTGCAGAACCCGTGCAGATCCGTGCAAAATTGACCTCCAGTCTTCCCCCGAATACAACGTACGGTCATTATATCTGAATTTGGTCTATCTTTAAATCTAAATTCAGCTATAATGACCGTACGTTGTATTCGGGGGAAGACTGTAGTTCCGTCACAATGCCCCCACACGAAGACGCCGTACTACACGGAGACTATTTTATCGCAATGGCGCACTGTCGGGGACCGGTTCGTCTGGCGAAAAAACAGAGGGCTTGGTGTCCTCTACGGGAGAAGTGGAAGGCTGGGGGTCCTCCACCGGAGAAGTGGAAGGCTGGGGGTTATCTACGGGAGGAGTGGAAAGCTGGGGGTTCTCTACAGGAGAAGTGGAAGCCTGGGGGTTATCTACCGGAGAATGGGAGGGTTGGGGGTTATCTACGGGAGGAGTGGAAAGCTGGGGGTTATCTACCGGAGAAGTGGAACGTTGGGCATCTTCCACAGGAGAATGGGAAGGTTGGGCATCCCTATTCGAAGCAATCGATGGCTGGGCATTGTCCACAGGAGAATCGGACGGCTGGGCGTTCTCTTTCGGAGGATTAGATGCCTGGACATTCTGGACCGGACATGTGGAAGACTGGGTGTGCTCTTCCGGGGGAGCCATAGACTGGGTGTCGTCGATGGGAGAGGTGAGAGACTGGGAGGTGGAAGGCTGGGCATCACCTACCGGAGAAGTGGAGTTCTGGGTGTAGTCAATGGGAGGCCGAGACTGGGGGGCGTCAATCGGAGATGCGGGAGGGTGGGAAGCAGAAGGCTGGGCATCGTGTGTCGGAGGTGCAGACTGGATGGCCTCTATCGGAGGTGCAGACTGGGTGGCGTCTATCGGAGAAACGGGAGAGTGGGAAGTGCTAGGATGGGCATCGGGCTCGGCATCGTGTTTCGGAGACGGGTTACTCTGGGTGATGTCGATCGGAGAATGGGAAGACAGGATGGCCCCTCTTGGAGATGATGACGGCTGGGAAGTAGAAGAAGGGACACCGTCCCGAGGAGGAGGTGACCCAATCGGGAAGGAATCTATCGGAGATTGCGGAGACCGAGAACTGGAAGGCGGGACATGAGGCTGGGCGTCGTCCATCTGAGACGGAGAGCTCTGTGAAGCGGAAGGCTGGGAACTGACTATCGGAGTAGGATAGCTGGCTATGTCAGTCGCCTCAGAGCGGGAAGCCTCGACGTCCTGTGTCGGAGAAGGGGAAGAGGTGGATATGGAAGGCTGGCCATCGCCTACCGGAAATGGTGACTGAGGGAGGTCTATCGTAGATAGGGAAGACTGGGTTGCCAGAGGGGTCGAGGCCTGCGGCTTTTGTGGAGGAGAATTAATGGAGGTCTGGGGTAGTTGCAGAGGGGAGGGGGGGGGGGGATCCGCCGCCTTGCCCCGAGCTCCCGCCGCAGACGTGCCATGCCGCTTTCACCAGTGGCAGCTCAAAAATCGACCCCTCGTTGCCTCCAGCGTAGAGCTTGAGCTGTGTGCCTTCATCCTTGAGAGCCAGACCCCAGAGTCCACCATCGGGATACCTAACGATAGTCTCTACGCTTTTGGCTTGTCCACAAGGGGCCTCCAGAGTGATCCAGCGGATGCGTCCTCCTATCTCCGAGACGAAGAGATTACACCCATCGGGGGTGACGAGGATGTCCCGCAAGCCCCGGAAGGTTGCATTTCCGCCATCGCCATTTATCACACCGCTCTCCCCAGTGCCCGCGACCAGCGTGACTTCCCCCGACGCCGCCCCCATCGCCCATACCCTATTGAAAGCTCTGTCGACGAAGTACAGGCAAGAGCCGTCCGATGCGAAGCTCTGATGGTTGAAATGAACCGTCGATATGTTCGGTTGGCCCCCTCTGGAAAAGCTTGCGACGGTCGTCCATGGCGACACTCCAGCTACCCCGCTCACGACGTCGACGAATGGGGCAGTTAGGACCCTTGTAGGCCTCCCCATGTCTGAAAGGTAGACCTGGGTTTTGGCGGGATTCAGGGTCAAGCTTCCGGATATGGCGGCTGGCTGGGCATAAGACGTCCGATTCCCGTCCAGCACCGACAGAAATGGCACCCTGGAGTACAGATCCTCGCCGCTCACGTCCGTGCTTAATAGAAGGTGACTTCCGTTTGGCGAGGGACCCATGCCTACGATACTCGACATCTTGGTCATGAAGCTCCCCGACTGGTACACCATGGGCAAGGGGCGTCGAGTCCCCCTGAGAGTCGTGTTTGGCCACCAATAACTGATAAGCGCCTCGTCTGCGGTTGCTGTACCGGCCGAAGATCACCCTTCCTCACAGACATGACCTGAAGGCTTGTCAGGCCCAGATTCTCGCAAACATCGTTAACGACAAAATAAAACACACCGTCAGAGGGGAGACTCTGAGATGAACGGAACACTTAAGTTCTTAACGGTGGCCCCGCACCAGCAGCTGCTATTGTCATTGCGCGAGTCGAAAGCAAGCCCAGGCGTCACTTTCAGCACTTGCCGGGTGCTGCTGACCAGGTTCGGCTGCAGGATCGTCAATCCCGAGGAATTTCCCATAGCCAACGCCTCGCGGCGACTCTCCTGCCTCCACGTGTCGCTTAGGTGACATGAGGTGTCCTCGTAAATATTGCTAGCAGCCTCCACGTCATCCTCGGCGAGCACACGGCCCACCATAGCCAAGGCAAGGACGATGAAGATCAAGACAAACCGCCATGGCCGCCTCTCGACACGGACCAACCCTTTGGCGACAAATGTGAGGAAATCCATGGCGGTCGTTGCGCTGGCGGCTCGGGCGGCAATCACCCTAGACAGGCTATCTTCTACTAAACAGAACGACGCCTAAGTTCGCGAATGGTTAACCGCAAGCCGACACGACGACGAGGGAGGGAGGGAGGGAGGGAGGGAGGGAGGGAGGGAAAGGAAAGGAGAAAACCCTCGACCGATCTCCGTATAAGCCTACAGGGTGCCTTGATCTATCGTCTGCTACAAGGCGAGACATTCAGACAAGACAATTTCCACGTCGCCCCCTGAGTGAAGAAGAGCGCCATCTTGATGCAAGCAGCCTCGCCGCCTTTGATTAATTCAACTTCCGAAGGGCGTGGATACTTTGCCACGTGTCACTCATCTCCGAGCATACACATCTTTCGTCCAACCGTTCACCCCCCTCACTTCAAGCCATGGGGATCTGACCCCCCGCTGCTTTTCGCCTTCTTCTCTGTACAGAGCCAAGTTCAGCCAACGACCGCCTCGTCTTCTCTCTGCTGCCACGTTGAGGAAGAACGCCGCTTCGGCGGAGTCTTACCGCCGCCACAGCCGCGCCACGGTCGCGCGTCCCCATACACGCGGACACAAGAGTGAGCGCAGCGAACAGAGACACAGAAATGGTCAGTTCCCGACACAGATATGCAGGCGAAGGGAATTGAGTAGAAGTCAGTGAGGAGGAGGTGTTGCTGCGCCGACTACCGTCTTCCCCCGAACCCAACGCACCCTCATTTTGGCTGTATCTGGCCGGAAATATAGCTTGTAGACATTTATTTTTAGGGTGCGTTATGTTCGGGGAAAGACCGTAGGTTCCTGGGTAAAAAAAAACAGTCCGTCTGTGAGCATCCCCCCTGCTAATATGAGAACGGCGCTCAAAAATTCCCAAAAAAAAAAAAAAAAAAAGAACGGCGCTCAAAATGGAGAAGAGTATAGTTAAAAAAAAATTAAAAAAAAAATGGAGCATGGATCTTGCTGAAAAATAAAAAAAATAGAAAAAAATGGAGCATGGATCTGTCCTTCCTCTAGAAGAAGTGACATGACGGCCGGATTGAGGCGACCGGGAAGCGTTTTCTGCGGCGCGTTTATCGTGCCTGCGCTAATGCTTGTTGCTGAAACAGAGCAACCAGCTAACCCTAACTCTTGCTATCTATGGTGAGGGGGAGGGGAGCATCGTTTCCCCTAGAGGGATCTCAATGTCCATCGCTAGGACATGTGAGGAAGATGCGTTGTAACCGGGGAGATGTCCTCAAACTTTTCATTACCAGACTTACCGAGACTCGGTAACTTCAGTTACCCCGTCTTTCAGAATCTGTTCTTTCACCTGCGAGATGTGCTTTTTTCTATTTTTTCCTTCCAGACCGGGACGAAGTGCATCATGACAACGCATCATGAGGACGCACGACTCTTCTACGGCTAAAGATACCTTTACGGGGTAAAGTTTTTGAGTATGGGAAGTTCTATCGAAGAGGTAAGTTTTCCACTTGGTTACGGCGTAGCAAAGCTGTTGCGACATTGGTAGAGGAGGTTTTCGTCCTCCGCTCTTTATGATAGAGACACGACAGTGTTTTGCAGCCTTATTACGACCAACTTTGAGATTGAGTTGAAGGCATTATTGAGTTTACGGTTTCTTAGCATTGGTCCATTCTAAGAATAGTAATTCAGTAATTTATTGTCGCAAATGCCTTTCTGCTGGCCCGCAACTTCAAATATGTACACCCCCCCCCCACCTCCCCCTTTATCCCTATTTTCTCCATCAATAAATGACAAGGCAATCTTCATTCACTTGTGCCGTTCGCGACAAAGTCATGTCTAATACTACCATATTGTTCCCCCCCATGACTCAGCGTAACTATTTCTTCAACCCTAATCCCATGCTCAAAATTTTTTCATTCTCCGGAAGTTGGTAGCGACATAATAATGCCAGGTATTTGCCCGTGGCTCTCTCCACGCCCGGGAACAGTGACTTTAACTTATGGGGCAAGTACGTTTGTGTCACAAACGAAGTTTGAAAGGGCAAAAGAAACAATAATGGGCAATGAAAAAAAAGCCGTAGTTCGAAAAGGCAGTCATAACATTACAAGGCGGTAACATCAGGCCCCAAGTTTGAAAAGGCAGAAATATCGTTTTT